CACCGTTCCTCCTGGGGGCTGGGCGTTGTTTAGCATTTTTTACTCTCGGGTTCTTTTTCCAAGAAGAGTTTTTGTTTTACTCCAGAATACTTTTTGATAAAAGCCCTTCTGTTAGATTCGGCAAGCTATTGTATTAATGATTTGGCGTCCCCAAGGGCCCCCAGGCTTCACCTGCACAGCAGGTGGGGGACGGAGGCAGACAGGTTTCTCCCTGGACATCTGGCCCAAGCCTGCCCCACCTCCAAGGCCTGAGCCTGCACCTGCCACATCCCAGCAACTCGGGACTCACTGCCTTTATCTCTGAAATCTGTGTGGCTCTTCGGACATTAATCAGTAAGGCCTTGAATGAGCACTTGCTGCTTGAATCACTAATGAATATTAAATTAATGGAGTAATCCCTAAGCAGTGAGAATAGCCGTTGGTGATTGCCGCGTGCTTTTCTGACATGATCAAGGTTAAATTTCACAGCCATCCTGGGAGGTGGGTGTCACTGCTCATCCCCACTTGGCCAAGGAGCCAAGCACAGGATGCCTGTTGTCTCTCTTATGAAGCACAAGCTGCCTTCACAAACATCAGACCTACTGCTTTACACCCAGGAGGTGTGACCTTAACTTTGTTGGATCAAGTTGGCGCTTGCAAACTTTTCGCCTTCTTTTACGAGCTCTTAGCGCATGCAAATCTGTTGTCCCCAGAAATGTTTTGAAACAGCTTGCTTGAAGTAACCTAAGATACGTGTGTTTTAAATGTCCAGTTTTAGGTGGATTATGTTAACAACCGTGCATTCTGCACCCTCTGTCTTTCAAAGGCAGCTTGAAAGTGGGAGGTCCTAAAACTTGAGGAATGAGAGTCCGTGCAGATTTCACCCCAGCCAGACGCACTTTGGGCTGCCCTGCACGTGCCCGGCCCCTCTGTTTCGCTGCCCCTGTGACGCCTGCCAAAAGGTGGTGTAGAAGGAGGAGGGCACCCACACTCTCCGTCTTCAGCTGCGGGGAGAGTAACCCCCCACGCACCGAAGAGAGTAAACTGAAGTCTCTAAGTGCTTTGCTTTTTCTCTGCCTGCCTTCCAGTTTGCAGGGCACACGGGATGTCGGTCTGGGGGATGAGTAACTGGCAGACAGGGGCTTCAGAGAGGCCAGCGGGGCCAGGCCCTGCATCCCTGCTGGTAAGAGGCCAGCAGCGCCTGAGAATCAGGTGAAGTGCCTGCTGTGCTGTTGCCAGTGTGGAGGAAGGACAGGCTGTACCTGGCGTCTGAGAAGGAACAGGTCCTGGGGCCACCTGTACAACCAGATTGTGTGAGCCCTGGAGAAAGCAGCCTTCCTGAAGTTTTTTTGGACACTGGGAAGATGAGAACCATCCACCTGCCAGCTCCTCTTGGCCTCCCCAAGCCTGGCTCATGTCTGGGATCAGCTCTGTGCCATTAGCTCTTCAAAGATCGCCGGCTTCCACTTCCCTCTCTTCTTTCCTCTTCCAGTTTGTCATGTCTTGGTTTTTTTGTTCCATCATCCAGATTTTTCAGCGATTGTCTCGCATTATGCCTGCATCCAGCCCTCTGTGTGCACTCAGGGTACTTTCCTCAGTGCTGACTTCCACTTTCCTAATCTGTCCTCTACCCAACCCACATCACATCCACTGTAAAGATGAGCCACTTGCTTTTTGATTTCTGTGATTGGTACTCATTTCCATAAATTCTCTTAATTTGGTCTTTTGGAAAGGTATCTGGTTGTTTACTTAGGGTTTTCGTCACTTTAAAAAATGCTTTGAATCCATCATTGAAAATAGTATGTTATGGTCTGTGAGTAATAATTTGGTACCTGAACTTCTTGGTGGTGTGAGTTGGGGGTTTTTGTCTGGTCTCACTGTTTGCTGGATCTGCTGGCCTGTTCCTGAGTTGCTTCGTCTTGTGTTTTCTCACTGGATTGCAGCCTCATCTTCACCTGGCTTCGGGGTAGGCACATCTGAGCAATGAGATTGTGTTTGCTTCGGTCAGATCCCCAGGGGGGCTGTGAGTGCAGGGTCACCTTGCATGTAACTCCTGGTGGTTTTGGAGACGGTGACTGTGCCAGCCGAAGGCCCTCTGAGCCTTTGTCCTTTATGCCATGCAGCTTGCAGCGAGGAATGTGGAAGTGCTTTGTGTATGATGGGGATGCAGTCAGTGTGGGGTCAGGACAGGGGTAGGCACACCACACAGGTCCCGGCTCCTCCTGAGGTCGGAAACAGCTTGGAGCATGGAGCCCCTAAAGGACAGGGCGGTGACCAGTACACCTGTGTGCCAAGGCCTCAGGGTGCCTGGAGAATGGTTTTCTTACAGCATTCAGTCTCGGCTAGAACAGCGTTGACCCCAATGGAGGGCTCTCGGCCGTGCAGGGGCACAGGCCTGGCAGCCCCTTCCCAGCTGGGTGTGCAGCGTTTTCTGGAAGCTTGCTTGTTTGCTTCTGCTTATCATATCAACAAAACGCAAAGCACTGGGTGTCGGGGAGCCCAGGACATCTCGGGCGTGAGTGCTGAGTCAGTGCAGAGAAGGAGGAAGGCAGTCTGTACCCTGACAGCCGGAATGTTCTGGGGCCTGTTGTGTGGATGGTATCTGCGGTTTCAACTATAGGAAACTTTTTAAAAAGCACAACACATTTTAGAGTGTTGTCTACGACTGGGAACCGTTACTTGAAGCTCAGGGTTAGACGCTGCCCCCGGCCGACTGTTCCTTCCCCACCACTGGTCCAGGTACGCCGCAGTGCCCAGCTGTGTGGCCACATCTCAGCTGCTGGCTTCCCCGCCCTCCCCGAAATGCTGAGCAGAGCCGTCCCTTCAAGCACCAACCCCTGCCTGCCCCATGACCCCTTTCATGGCTTCCCCGCTCGGGGCAACTGTAAGCCGTGCCCTGCGACCCTGAGTCTGTGCTCTCCCCGGAGCCCTGCAGTTAGAGTCCCGGCCCCTGGGGGCAGGTTGCAGGTCTCCACGTGCTGGTGAATCTCACCCACAAGACCCCTGCTTGTGGTGACTGTGCTTCTCACAGTCATGACATTGCAGGAGCTCCTTAGATTTCCCGAAGAAGGTGCTTACCTGTGTTGTAAGCCCTCGCACCATTCGTGCCCCTATAAAGCCTTGCAGAACCACCCCCACCACACACACACGTAGTAGATTTGGGAGTCTGAGGACATTTGGTTGCTTCCCTCGAGTGTAGTTCTCATCACCGAGTCACTGTGACTGGGGTCCTGACCTGGGGTCTTCACAGATCACCCTCTTCTCCTGGTGTAAAGTGTGGGGCCATGGCTATTTGGTGGAGGATGGCACCGTAGTCCTGCCCTCTTTGTTCATTTCCGTCATCCACTCAGCATGTTCTCTGCGTGTTGGGAATGAGGGGGCACTGTCTTAGGAGCACACAGCGCCGATCGCCTGTACAGCTGACCCTCTGTATCCGTGGGTTCTGCATCCCTGCAGTCAACCAACCACAATCTAAAATATTTTTTAAATATTGCAGAAAGCAAAACTTGAACTAACAGTAGGTACTCCAGCAACTATTTGCATAACATGTACATTGGTATTTACCGCTATTTACAAAGCATTTACATTGTATTAGGTATTATAAGTAATCTAAGGATGGTTTAAAGAAGACAGGAGGATGTGCGGTAGATTGTATGCAAATACTACACCATTTTACATAAGGGACTAGGGAGCATCGAGGGTTTTGGTATTCTCAGGGGTCCTAGAACCAATCCCCCACAGATACTGAGGGGCGACTGTATTTACTCTTGGAAGATTTGAAAGGGTCATGCATCAGTATAAAATGTCCCCAGGTGTCCCCGTTACATCTTGAACTTTCTCTGAGTCTGATCACCTCTGCAAACCCAACACATGTGCAGCCCAGTCCACCCAGAAGGGATGTCAGACCTGCTAAGCCTCCTGCTTCCTCATCGTAGCCTGAGGGGAGGGCGGGGGCAGGCTCTGCGGTGTCCCCTCCCAGCTAGGAACAGTGGGGCGGCCTCAGCATTTTATTGATGCTGTCTCTGCATTTAATTTTTTGCAAAGTTGTGCTGCCGGTGGCTTTGTGTCATCTCATTCATTCAGCAGACGTTTTGTCTCGACATTCTCTTTCTCATGAAAGTAGCAAATACCCTTTGGAAGAATACCCATTGGAGAAGAAGCCACCGTGTGCAAAGAACGGTTCTTCGGGTTTGCTTTCCTCTCCACCTGATGGCATTATTTCTTGAACCTTTTCCATGTACATTACTAGACATCATTAAACTGAGGTTTCTGTGGCCACATGGCGCTGCATTGGCTGAACGTGCTGTAGTCGGGGAACCGATCATCGATCGAGGGCTCCCCGTGGGCTGGGCGCCGGCTCTGCGGTGGACAGGCTCCAGGTGGAGCAATGGGTTGTGGCAGGTCACCGCACACAAGAGAGCCCGTTCTTGGTCCTGACAGAGTTCTCCTTTTGGTCCCGTTTTTCGGGGGTTCAAGGGCCTCTTGCTGATTTTACACAGATCTCTGTCATCCACGATCATTCCAGCTTTCTGAACTTAGTCACTAGCAGTAAACCCAGAGAACTGGTGATTCCACATCCTTCCCCCACGAGCCTCCAAAATAAAAGACCTTTTGGGCCACAAGACAGAACAGCGGCCACCCGGTGGGGCCAACTCAGCCCACCCAGAGAGGTGGAGTGGCTCAGATTCCTAAAATCAGGATTCCTGGGGATTTGAATTGTGAAATATGGAAGAAGTCAGGCACCTGGGGCTGAGAGGAGAGGCCGAGAAGATGGGAGCTAGAGAGAGTCTGGAGGGACTGCAACCAATCCCTGGAGGGCCGCAGGGAAGAGTGGACCAGAGCAGCAGCACTGCAGGGGCAAGAGGCAGGAGAGCCAGTCCCACAGAGGCAGAGCCAGGGCTGGGAATGAGGAGCGGGAGGGAGCACTCTCCCCTCCCTCCCCCCAGCCCCTCCCTCTCTCCTCCTCCCTCTGCTCAGGGGCCTCTTCTGTTTCGCCCCACCCCCGAGTGGAGAGGTCCAGGGCAGGTGGGGCAGGGTGTGTGCAGACCTCAGGGCAGCAGATGCATGCTTGCTGTCCAGGGTGGTGGAGAAGGATGACCTATCCTAGAGCCCTGCTTTGTGAAATTATTATTGTTTGAAAGCAGGCAGGAAGATGGGAACGGGAGGAATATTGTGGGCTGTCTCAGGAGCCCAGCACTGAGCCCTCCTGCAGGCCGTGAAGGGAGAGAGCGTGTGCAGGAAACTGGACGCCTGGCTTGCAGTGGGAAAGCAGGGTCTCTGGGCTTCACATGTGCTGCTCTGTAAGTGGTGGCCCCATCCAGTGAGGCAACAGTGAGACCACAGATGGCACCCTAGTCGGTGAGCAGGGCCCCGAGTGCACCTGCAGGACATGTGGGAGATGAGCAGGTGGTCCCTGCCCCCGGCCTCCTTCCACGGGGCTCGCCTGTCTACCTGGTGCTAGCTCTGTCCTTCGTGCAAGGCTGGGAGGGTTTAATTTGGAATTTAGTATTTCTTACTTAGCAAAGCAAACTGTATGAATCTTTAACCCTTGGGGGGGACCCTCTGTGGTCCCATAAGTTCTGGGAGTCCCCAGGCTGTGTGTCAGGACCCCAGGAGACAGGCAGATGCGGCTGTATCAGGTTGGAGAGGCCCCAGAAAGTCACTGGGAAGGGGGGCTGTGGAACAGTTTGTGGCTCCTGGTTTCCTTTTCTGTTGCGTTTTGTGCTGTGGGATGGGGGCCTGGACCACCAGAGGTCAGAGGGTTCAGACAGAGGGGTCTCTTCCTCAGGGGTCCTGACAGGGAGAGGCCTCGCAGGAGGCAGGGGTGGGCCCTTCTCCCTGTCCCCGTGGCCCCGGCTCAGGGCCTGAGGGTAAAGGAGAACTCGGGTCCTTGTGAAAGATGTTTCCAGGGGACTGAGCAGGTGACGGAGGGTCAGCACAGAGAGGATTAACTGGCTCTGATTTGGAAGCTCCGGGGTGTGTCCCGCTCACCGCTGGGCTGGGCTGTCGTCAGGCCATGTGTCAGCTGGAGCTCCGTGACCCCAGGACCTCCCAGCCTGTAGAGCAGCCTTGGTGCGAGCTCGGACCACCCACCCCCTCTGCCCTGGGGCGGAGGATGCTCCCGGGCCTCACACTGCATGGGACGGGCTGGCCCTGCCTATCCTTAAACTGTTTTGTTTGAGTCACAGGACAGAAATAAACAGGCCAAAAAGGATGACTGTGACACAGCCAGGGTTTGTGCGCTGTCGCCAAGCCCAGCAAGGGCCCATCTGCGACGCTGGGCAGATGTTTGCAGAAAACGCGGTCTTTGCCTGCCGGAAGCCTGTCAAGTGGACACGGTACCGACTTTCGTTTTCAGTTGTAAATTTTTGTCACATTCCTTTTTTTTCTCTTTATTTCTTTTTGAAGTATAGTTGATTTACAATGTTGTGTTAGTTTCTGGTGTACAGCAAAATGATTTAGTTATACGTGTGTGTGTGTGTGTGTGTGTGTGTGTGTGTGTGTGTGTATATTCCTTTTCACATTCTTTTTCATTATAGGCTATTACAAGGTATTGAATATAGTTCCCTGTGCTGTACAGTAGGACCTTGCTGTTTATCTATTTTATATATACTAGTTAGTATTTGCAAACCGCAAACTCCCAATTTATTCCTGCACCCCTGTTCTGGTTTGGTAACCATAAGTTTGTTTTCTATGCCTATGAGTCTGTTTCTTTTTTGTAAATAAGTTCATTTGTATCATAGTTCAGATTCCACACATAAGTGATATCATATGGTATTTGTCTTTCTCTAACCTTGAAGTTGTACATTTTTAAAGAGCTGGACACCTAGCACAGGCAGAAAGAAATCCCCATCAGAACATGTTTTGAAGAGAGCAGATTGATGAAGGCCGCATTGTAGTTTTTATTTTCAAGGAAAATCTTTTGAAAATTCCCACGGAGGCTGGAAGCTTCCAAGAGAAATCCCCCCAGGAGATGGTGAGATTTGATTCCATGGCCCTTGGGCATTTTTCTAGGATATTATCCCCCTCAGCTGTCAGGTGGGTGGTCCTGGGGGACGGGGGTCAGGGCGGCCAGGCATGGATGGCCTCTCCTTGTTTCCCTGGTTGCATGAGGCCTGAGGTCTGCACAGCCATGGTGTGAGGTTGGACATGTACCCAGGTCTCCAGGTTAGACATCCTTAGCGCCCTCCTTCAGGTACCAGAAGCATTAATTGCAATGCATGTCATATTAGCGTTTGGGATCTTTGGGGGCAGGTAGCAAAGGTAAACCCCTCTTTGGGAACGCAGTGAGTTTGGGGTTCTCTTCTGTTCCACTGTTGCTTAAGTCATGAGAGACCTGCTTTAAGTAGGGAAGCAACTATGTCATCTACAGGCGCGCTCCCGGCACTAAGTAGGTCAGGGTTTTGTCACAGTTTTGACGAGATCACAGGTGAGTCATTGCAAATTTGGAGAGTCACGAATCTTGTCAGAATCTGAAGTACATTTGCAGACAGCCTGCCTGAGTTCCTGGCCTGTGGAGTGTCCTCTCATTCCCCACTACCTCCACCCAGTGAGGCACAGTCTCGGCTGAAACCAGCCTCAGAGGGCAGGGTGCCCGGTGCGCCCCCCCGGGACTTGCCCTCACTGCTGGTGGAGGACAGTCCGTCCCCTTGCCTGCTGGGCTGGCAGGAAAAACCAAGTCCTGGGAGCGGACGAGAGCATCACCCCCGCTCCCTGACTTACAGCTTTTCCTACAAGCACAGCCTCACGCAGGCAGGTGCACAGCAAGAGCGCACAGTTTGACCAATGTTCACAAACTGAGCGCACCCCTATAACCACGCCCAGATCCGGACACAGATCACACCACCACCTGGGAACCGCTGTCCTCAGGCCACAGACTCGCAGGATGGCTGCCCTGGAACATGGCTTCTGCTGGACCCTCAGTTGCATTTCTCTGGGGGCCTACCTGGGAGGGAAGGTGCTGGGTCCCAGGGGTGCTGAGCTTCTGTTGAGGAGATGCTCCGGCTTTCTGAGAAGGCACTCTCCCCAGCAGGCAGAAGCCAGGATGAGGTTTTCCAGGTAGAGCGAGTCACGTGACGATGGCAGTAGAGTTCATTTGGGTTGATACGAGTTCAGGTGAGGATCTAAAGGCACTTCAGGAAGCAGTTATTCTTCCTCATCTGGGAGGAGAGGGTTGGTCTTTGTAGAGGTGACTTCTGCATTGAAAGGAGAAATTTGCATTCCAGCGTCTGCTTGTGCGGGTTTTTCTCGCTACGCTCAGATGACCTCGTCCACCTGCCCTGACAAGCCCACTCCGGGCGGGGGATGGAGCACAACTGAAGCCCAGCTTTGGTCAGCTTTGCCTCTCACAGCCCCTGAGATGAGGCGAGCAGGGAGTGTTACCTCTTGCCACAGATGATGCAACTGAAGGTCAAGTACTTGGTCCCAGGTCTCAACCTATGAAAAGGGGGCCTGGCCTCTAACTTCTGGCTACAAACCCCATGATACTCTGCCTCACGCCAGCCCCCTCCTCTGGTAGCAGAGAATTTAAAGGTGTGCTTTATTTTACAGCAATTATTAGTCGATTTAGCTAAGCATCTGGCTCCTTTGGGCTGGGCCAGGTTGTGCCTACGACCTTGATCCTGCACACGTGATGGTAAACCTCATGGTGGTGGCGGCAGGACAGACTCATCCGTCAGGTGGTCCCATCAGTGTGAAGCCGTCGCAAGCCTGTCACTTTGGGTGTCCCTTGATGTGCTAGTTCGTACAGATGCTAAAAAGTTATTTTAGGAAATTCAGGTAATGGGCTGTAGTCAGTCAAGTAATGTGGAAGCTAAATCTTCGAGGACATTTTGGCAGTGGTACAGATTCTTTTAAAATTGAAGTATAGTTGATTTACGATGTTGTGTTAGTTTCTGGTGTACAGCATAGCGATTCAATCATATAAATATATATATATATATATATTTCTTCTTCTTCTTTTTCATTATAGGTTATTACCAGCTATTGAATATAGTTCCCTGTGCTATACAGTCGGACCTTGTTGTTTATCTATTTTATATATATGGTAGTTTGTATCTGTTAATCCTCAGTTCCCAATTTATCCCTTCCCCCCTTTCCCCGTTGATAACCATGTTTATTTTCTATGTCTGTGAGTCTGCTTCTGTTTTATAAATAAGTTCATATGTGTTATATTTTTAGATTCCACATATAAGCAATATCATATGATATTTGTCTGTCTCTGTCTGACTTACTTCACTTAGTATGATAATCTCTGGGTCCGTCCAGGTTGTTGCAAATGGCATTATTTCATCATCTTTTGTGGCTGAGTAGTATTGCATTGTATAAATGTACCACAGCTTCTTTACCCAGTCATCTGTTGATGGACATTTAGGTTGTTTCCATATCTTGGCTATTGTAAATAGTGCTACTGTGAATATTGGGGTGGATGTATCTTTTCGAATTAGAGTTTATCCTCTGGATATATGCCCAGGAGTGGGATTGCTGGATCATATGGTAACTCTATTTTTAGTTTTTTAAGAAACCTTCATACTGTTTTCCTTAGTGGCTGCATGGCAGAGGTATAGATTTTAATATCTCCTTTTCATGTATAATATTCTCTTAAACCTAAGAGTTAACCTTTAAAGTGTATTTTCCAAAGCTACTGATGTCTATTAAAGGAAGGAATAAATAGACTGAGGAATAGTCCAGTTAACCTCTCGTATGTCTGCCATTCAAGAAGCTTGATCGCCTCCAAAATATTAACTGCCTTTGATAGTTCTGCTGGAAAACAGACTTCTGTTGTTTACAGGGTGAGCTTTGAGCTATAATTGCTTAATATTCTGTCAAATTATTTCAGAAACTGCTACATGTATCTTGAAATCTTTAACGGGGAAATACCGGTTAAACTTAGTTAGGTTTATTATCAAAAGAGATTTTCTTTCCTGAAAACAGTTGAGTTCAGATCTGACCAGGTTAAAGAGCTAAAAACATAAAACAACAACAATAAAAATAACCCCCAAATTTGTTTTTTTTTTAACTCAGTAAAACAACTTCCTGTGTCATTTATCATTTTGTATCTGTGTAACTGATACAAATCGTATCACTCCCAGGTAAGCAAATTAAGACTCTGTTTAAGGATCCCAGCCTTGATGTGAGAGTTGATTTCCCGTGTCAGCCCCAAGCTGTTTGTCTCTTTTTTTCAAAAAATGTGGATGCTTTATTTAGTACCTAAGAATCCTGCAGGAGACACACTAGTTCCTCACCCTGGTGGCAAGAAACCAGGTGTCAGTGACCAGGGCTCCAGAGACACTGGGCTGGGTTTCTTCTTTGGCCTTTACATCCAACCATGTGCACTGAATTTCAAATTTCTGTGCTGTCACAGTTTTAAAACACCATCCCATTGACTGGTGATGGTAAGTTCCCCTGGCACGTGGCGTCTGTGAAGGGGTGTCAGCCCCGTGTGTATGCCTGCAACCCACCTCCCCAGGCCTCCTGTCACCCTCCTTGGTTCTGTGCCAAGCAGATGCCAGTGCAGCTTCAGGAAGGGCTGTGTCTCTAGGAGGGTGTTTGGCTCCACTGTCTTAAAGCCTCAGATCAGGGTGTATCCCCTTCAGAGTTCAAATTAAAATCCCTTTGAGCCCTCATCCCATTGGTCACCCTGTTTCGTCTGGTCCAAGGAACCTCAGTGTACTGACAGTCCTTCCTCCCTTGAGCTGTCTTTTCACCTTCAGCAGAATCAGTTGCCTGTACTTATATGGGTCTATTTCTGTTTGTTTTGTTCTGATTTCTGTCCCACTTATCTCGGTGTCTGTCCTTCTGCTAATGATTCACTGCAGCATCGTAGTAAGCCTTAGTCTCAAGTACAGCGATGCCTCTCATTGCATTCTTCTTTTTCAAAATTATTTTAGCTATTCCAGTCCCTTTGCCTTTCCATAAACATTTTAGAATAAGCCTGTCTGTATCTATTAAAAACAGGTTGCAGGGATTTCAGTGGGAATTTGGACATAATTGACATCTTTACCACATTGAGTCTTCTAACCCATGAACACGGTCTGTCTGTCCATTTATTTAGATCTTCTTTGATTTCTTTCATCATCATTTCACAGCCTTAGTGTATGCCTCGTACATGCTTTCTTCAATGTAGACCTAAGCGTTTTATTTTATCTGGTTGTAAATCATCTTGTGTTTTTCAGTTTCCCCAAGTGCCTTGCTAGGATATGGGATTGCTGTTGATTTTTGTATGTTGATCTCATGTCCTGTGACCTTGCTGAATTTATTTAGTTCTAGGAGGTTTTCTGTAGATTCCTTAGGATGTTCCATGTAGACCACTTCATTATCTGCAAATAGCTTTATTTCT